AGAAAATGCGATTTTTGAAATGTAAACATTATTGTACTCGCTTTGTTTAACTTAACCAAAAACACTTCTACTACTTCTTGCGCGCAACGTTCTCTTCGCGTTGCCGCCATGTTTCTCCTTTTGCTGCTCCCTTTGTCATGCCAACGTTCTCCTTCAATAAACCACTGAACTATGGATTTATTTTGTTCTCCGTTTTATCACGCAACCTTATGGAACATTTAGTGGTGGGGCATAGTCAAGCTGGTTTCCGGACTCGCTTACTAAAAATCCATGGAATCACTGACAAGTGGACTGAGTCATGTTGGTAGATGTAGGCTACCTGGTTGGGGTCCGCGAGACGATAGTCACCAATGGTTAGAGACCTTGAACGACATGGCTCAAAATCGTTTGCAATGGCGCAGGTACATCCACTCTTTGTGTTCTCTCAAATTCTAATCTTCTGAATTCCTCATAATCTCTGTCCATCTCCTTCTAAATTTATCTCACTGGATAATACTTCTCGAACCATATCTTTGCTCCCTAATCTTTTCCATTACTGCTGATACTGCTACTATTGCTACCAAATGACAGTTGCGTCTCTGTGCCAATTTGGTACGGTAACCTGAGCTGATGTATGTACGTATGAAGTTCTGCGTTGCATCTCTCTGTTTGTCTGTCAAAAGCGACCAATCAAGTTCGAGGTTAACAGAAAAAGCTAAGGGTCAAACGTGGAAAAATTCGAATAATTCACTTCTGTCTGAGGTTTGTGCTGATGATGTTCAGAACAACTAAATATATTATCCATGATCAAAATTAACCAAAATATCGCTTCCCAATCACTTCACACATCTGTGAATGATACCTGTCGTTTACAAACATATACTGTAATCAATTCTTTATCATCGTAATCAAATTCAAATAATTCTATGAAAAGTTATTGCCAAATAAAAAACGGCCAAATATTCTCGTTCTAAAGGGATAAGATATTTCAAAAGTACAGTAGGATGACATCGGTCATACATTTTATCCATTCAAATCATTTTGAGGTCCGTTTAATACAAAATAAAGCCAAAATTGATGTATGCACAGAGACATCTGTCGAAATACCGTTAAAATTCAAACAACTGTCTAAGTACATCACTTCTCCATAACTTCCAACGACTTGATGATTTGCCAGTCCCTCAAATATAAAAATCTTAAACCACAACAATATTTTCATCTTTTTTTTATGAAGGGTTGTTACGATCTACTTATCGATTATATAAATGCACGCATTATTGATATACTTGTGATGGAATTGCCGAGTTGAATTTTATCGGTAAGTTACTCCGAAAACTTTATTTCTAATTTAACGAGTTACCTGTCAATTCCGTTTATTCGTACGATGACGTAAGTAGAAATTCATTGTCAGAACTTAAACTAATACCCTATCGGCTTACCTGTTTTGAGCACGAATAACTAAGCTAACACATACAATCGCTGGTATCTAGGACGCATTTCAGTCACTAAGCATGATACATGGTTATTATTTAAAATGAACCTATACAATCATTTACACAATGATCACATTATTTGGGTTGATATACCTCTGAAGAAAATATTGAAACACGATGACCATGTTTTTTACATCTAAAACATAATCAGCACATCTAAAGGTTAATACCCTTATCTGATTAGGTTAGATTAAACAAGTTTATAAAAAATTTTACGAAAACTTAAAAATTCTTTGAAGAAAAAGATAAACAATTTTAATAAGATTTATTTATAATAACCATTGGGTCGCAGATCAGAACTTCATACTATCTACTTCGGTTTTCGCTGTAGGACAAGTGCAATCAACCTTCACACAAGAAAATCGGTAATCAAAGTCGAGTGCATGGTATTTTATTCGATTAATTTACTAGATTTTTCAGTCTGCACTTACCATAAAACTACAGCGATACTGAAGTATATATTTGGAAAACGTGTCTATAAATAGAAACGAAAGCTCTTTTCATTCAGATAGTACATCAGCATACTGACAAGAGTTTTAACCACTTAACATTTAACCAACAAGGTCTAATAAATCGTCAGCTGCAAAATTTCAGTTCCACAAAGTGGCAATATTTCACATAAATAGATTTCGTTTTAATAAACAAAATCTCCGAAAGTGTTCATAGTAGAAACAGACTAAATCTTATGGTTTCTGTTCATTGAACTAACTAATAAGTGCACATATTTCTAATTTAGTAACCAAAATTTAGTTTTAACATGACTTTTTCACCGAGTAACAGATTCGTATACTTTCAACCAATTTTTATGTAAGAGCTAGCCAAACAACTCCGCGAACAAACTGAAGTGGGTAGGAAGTGGAGATCAAGCTTGTAACTAAATGAAATTTGAGTTTTAATTATTTAAACCATAAACTCACAAGAAACAATTCTCTACCATGTCTTTCATTCTTTTTCATAGGCGCTCGTATTCTTCTTGCTGTCCGAATATGTAGAAGTATGATCCCTACTTGTTGAAAAACAATAGTAATGGCTTCAATAATTATATTATGATGATTCTACTATGATTATGATAAATAACATCCAGTCATTTAGTTACACTGTAGAACTTCATACGTACGTACATCAGTTCAAGTTACCATACGATGAGTAGCCTACACGAATGGCAAAGCTCATCAGTCTAATCTTTTGTCCCATCATTGAACTGTCTTCAAATTCCATCTCCGTATGACAACTATGAATATTCATTCAATTACCTACGTCAACAGCGACCTCGAGAAGTAGTTGATCACTACTCTTTTCATAAAATAAATACATCCAACACTGAAGTCACATAGCTACCAAGTTGAATTTAAAATAGTTGTTCAAGTTACATGCATATATCTTCTTGTGATCGTTAATGTATTCATTATAAAAGCTGTATAAACTTTTATTCGGGTTTTTTGCATTAGTTTGACAGTACATTAAATAACATAACTGTTGTCTCAAAATAAAACCATCTGCTCATAATGAATACCAACTTACCAATTCCTTCAATTTAGTGCAACATTATGCTTTAGTTAATTTGTTGATTTGTAAATTTAGTATTTATCCAAAGTCAGATAATTTCCTTGCCGTTTCAAATGGTCATGAATGTGATGCGGAAAATTTTAGTGTGACAAGTTTATATATACCAGGTCATTCAAGGATCAAATGGGATCCCAGCTATCAAGCTTAAGAAATGGAAGCAATCATCTGCATTTTGCACTCATTAAACTATTTACCATATCACTCTCTATATAGGTTACCCTAACACCCGCGAAACTAGGCACATCATCCCCACAAATAAATCTTGGACTAAAGCGAATTCTGAAAGTTACCGACCCATAAGTGTGAACAAAGTAGTATCTAGGGTGTGACTGAGAGAACAATAAAGGAAGCGGTAACAACACCTACCTAACAACAATCGAATCCAGAAATCGCAGCATGTGTTTCCGAAGTCCAGGTCATGCGATACATTCCTACCCCACTTTATAGCTGATATAACACAAAAACAAGACAAAGGGTTCTAGCATCAGTCGTGTACTTCCACTGTAAGGTTTTCGATAAGGTACCACACAAAATGCTTCTACTCAAAATAAAGTCATTCTGAATCAGTGACCCATTCTATATGTATAGATGCAATGCCGAGGTTCGAAGTGATACGAGACACTGTACAACTTGCTGGGATAGGAGAACACTGGTTCAAATAATCTTTCTTGACTTCGCAAAAGCTTTCGACTTTACCTCACGCACGCCTAATCGCGAAGGTTGCGCAGATCAGCTTCACCGATCCGTAATATCAATGATAATTTAATTCTTTTCGTCTGTTGTACATGTGGACATTTGGTTGCTTAGATACACAAATGTGATGTAAAGAATAAATGTTTTTGTCCGTTCATATAGTGTAGTGTTGATAATTCTAGAATTTCAAGTATTTACATTATCATATTGTGTTGAAAACTTAATGGACAAATGTAGACTGTTCATAATGAATATCAACTTATCGATTGCTTCAATTCAGGGCAACTTTATGCTTTAGTTAGTTTATCGATTTGTAAATTTAATATTTATCTTTAGTCAGATAATTTACCCGCCATTTACTTATTGATTAATGGTTTCGATAACATGTTAAGTTGTAAACTTTTAACTGTACTGTTTTGAGAAGAAGACGCAAAGGAACCGGACGAGAATTAACCACAAAATCTGCTCCGAAATAAACGAAAGTTGAGTAGTTCAAGAACGGATAGTTAGTAAGGATCAAATAGTTGGATTGAGGAACCAGTGAACTCAATAGCCAGTTAACTAATAAGGTCAAGCAATGAACATCCGTTCCTTTGACCAGAAAATATTTGCAAAGTACTTATTATAAGCTGATGAACTAAATTTTCCTAGTAAAATGTCTTTACTACAAAGGCACTTGCAGTTCGCATGTATTTTATGACAACTGTGTTTGAAACACAGCTTGTAGGTAGTGGGACAACAGTAGTTGATATTGAGGTCAGACGGAAACAAATGAAAGCAGTTGTTATGATCGTAAATCATAATCAAATGAAGCAAAAAAATGACGTAGAACTGTTACTAAACCACTCAGACTGAAGGAGCCCTACGATGACCGAAACGAGTGTTGAGAAAGCGCTAATATCCATTAGCTGATACATACATATTGATCGTAATGAGAGAAAAAACAAGTCAACTGAATACTATAATTATGCTGAATCAAGTTCAGTCAGTCGGTTACAACACAGAAATTGGTACGACTTACGATGGCGTCACGAAACACGCCTTGCAATAAGTTAATCATCAGTTAGAGTTTCGGGAGGTTGTTTAGATTCGAAATATATATGTATGTATGTTTGTCCCCTACTTTTTGTCTGTGGTACCTAACAGACCACAACATGACGTAATATGTTCGCACTTTTACCTAGCCCCAAACCAACGAACAAAATTTATCCTAATTAAAGAAGGTAAACGCGTTACATCATTTTTTATGCGAGAAATAAACTTATTACGAAACTAATATCATCCTGAATATACCTGAAACAATCGACCATGATACATTTGAGTCGATGCTTTTCGCAAATAGCTGTTTCAATTTTTTCACCTGCGAACCCTTCCTCATAAGGATATAACATAACTGATTAGAAGTAATAAATCCCCGTCAAGGGATACGTATTGTACTATGAGTTAAGTTTCCATAACATAAAAAACTCGGTTACAAAAAGAATTTGAGGAAACTGCATTTTTCCCTCGATTTACGGACTACAGATCCGTTGTTGCGAATAATTACGGGCATGAGCCAGTCAGTTACGTACGCACATCAGTTCAAGTTGCCTTACCACATTTGCACAGACGCAGTGATCAATTCCAACCCCAAAGTAGGAGATGCATTAGAAGTAATCAAAAAGATTAGTGATCAAATATATCATTCGAGATGTATATCCCAGAGGAAGAAGTTAAACAAAGAGAACTAACGTTCATGAGGAACTCATGTTAGGATTTCAGAAAACATAATGGATGCACCTGCGTCTTGCAAACGATTTTAAGCCATACCGTTCAGTCTGCAGCCATCAGTTACAGCATGGATTTGCTGTTTTGGTCTGACCGCAGCTAGCTTTCTCCCAACCTACTCCAAAAACACAAAACATCGCTCGTTACTGCAGTCGGTGATTAGGCATACGCAACACACCCAATCTAATTCAACTGATGAAGTTTCAATACCTTATCTATTGACCTACCATCTTTACCCAGCATTTATGACTCGGGTGTCCCATGATACACGAGCTTTGCTTCGGAGACACCTATGTTCGAAAATCAGTGACCTACGAATATCTTGTACTCTGACTGGCTTTCACGACCATAAGGTAGGACAGAGCAGGCTGCTGTGCTGTACACTCGTCCTCTGTATAGCAACAGAATATATCGTCTACACCTTAAGTGGTGCAATTTAGAGGAAGCTATTCGAGCCGTTTTTATCTGTGATAAGATTTCGTCGGTCACCAGGCCATCGGCACTGAGACTCCTGAGATAAGTGAAGCGGTTAACACGCCAAACTGCTCAACTCCCTAATACTAGTTCAGGTGCCAATTCAATTTGCACCCCGAACATACTTAGGATAGTCAGGAAACTCTGTATTTTGTCAGTCTTCACCAAATGAAATCAAGTTCAAGAATATTCGTATCTCCCTTGGTACTTCTAAAGTGCCTCGACTGAAACCAGTGCACTGAGATCTAGTAGTACATCGGGCTAGTTATCCCTCCATTTCACTGTCTTTCAAAAACACTTAGTTCACTCACCATCGTTGACAAATCTAGTCCAACTACATTAACATTAAACTTACTGCTGTTACCTCTCCTGACTAATAAAGTACAGATGTAAACTAACTAAACCCGTTATCGCTAACCTATGGCATCATACACATAAGGCATCAAAGCATTCAAAAATACAATAATTCAGATCGTACTCCATTTATTTCCGTGCATGTTAATCGAATAGTCCAAAGCCTAAATCTTCGTCTGATTCGGACTCTTCTTTGACCTCCACCTTTCCAGGTTTGGAATCTGCTTTCGCGGCTTCAGGTTTGGCTGGCTCTGCTGCAGCAGGAGTAGCTGAGACAACGGCGCCAGCTGACGGTACCGACGATAACTTCCTAGAACCTTCTTCAATTAGTTGTGGTATATCTTTGTTAGCAAGTGAAGATAGAAGCTACGGAAGTAATGTTAGGAATGTCAACTCACTTTCTCGAGCCTCTCAGTATCATGTTCGATGCCAACCGAATTTAGGACGGTCTTTATGTCATTCTCAGTTGGTTTCTCCTTACCACCCAACTGACAAAGTAAATAAGCAGCCAAGTAACGCATCACGCTCGCAATTCACTAGACCCGCAAGCAGTCGGTGTGACACAACTAAACAAAACATTCATTGATATTTGAATCCCCTCTAAATTACTCAAACTTCAAACTTTGCTCCGCACAGTACAATGTCTGTGTGAATATTATAAATTCTCTGGGCAGGAGAAGGGGCAGTTAATTTTTTGAGATGTACCCGGATCACAAGAGGCGGATTTCATCCATACGAAGTCAGTGAACTTGTTTTTAAGTTAGGATTGAGTCTTGTGCTTTGATGGCAGAAAAACGGAAACCTTTACTAGTCCTTTCCTACGATGCCGCCATATGTCTATTTTTATTCTGAATGAAAGATACATTTCAATAGTTGGTAACTAGGTGAAAACTCATGTATTCTGTGGTAAACCTATTCATAACTTGTATTTGAGTTGCTTAGATGTCATTACATAGCTAAACTATGTTGCGCATCTAGTTCAGAGTCAATTATTAGCATCATATACGAAATTTTTGCACAATGATGCAACATAAGCTTAAAGTAAGACAGTCTTTACGAGGATTCAGCTAATAGTTGCCATTTAGCTTTCTTTTAGTAGCGAGAAGCCTTTGAAAGAAAGGACTGTGGCCTGTACATATTTTTTGGCTCTTTGTCTTACCATCACCGTAAAAAGATTAATAAACATATTGTCATCTGACTTAGGGAAAATCCGAATCAGTGTTCTGAAATCATTAGATGCGACAGAATTCCACTTTTCAGCGCTCTTCAAATCTCAACATAGTAGCAATTGTGAATGAAAACTAAGGGTTAGGAACGTTAACCAAGCCTATGTACATGGATAAAATTTGTCATGACTGCTGAATGACTTCGCTAATTACTGAACATACATAACAATGTCAAAGGAAAATATGGAAGTCAAGGGCAACTATACCCGTTACTTACTATGCCTACGCTTCATCTAATTAATCATTCCAATATCAGTAAATGAAATATACAATAATTTTTCGGTCATCCTCTTTTGGAAGCCGTGTGTCGGCGTAAAAATGCATGCGATTTCATATTCCTCAAAAGCTTTGTGAGGATTATTGTTATTAGACTCGATTACGTATCCAAGCAATCAATCGAATTTCTTTCCGTGGTAAAATACTTAAAATGTGCTGTCAGAAACTATTTAAAAACTTAAAAATGTTTGTTAATTTTCCTCATGCTTGCTTATAAATATTGGTGGTAACTGAAGAACATTTGTACCCTTTTTTGCAAACTTTCCCCTACTACCCCTAATGGAGCATAGGCCTGCGTTTCCAGCTCCGTCAAATTGTTGACGATTTTGCTCACATCTGTCTTCGTTTCTGAGCATCATGTTTTCCTTGGCTTTCCTCTTCTCCTTTGGCCCTGAGGAGTATAATTAAGGGCTTGTCTTGTGACGCAGTTGGGCGCATTCTTCAATGTGTGTCTTATTCACTTCAAGCCTCTCTTTCTGATTTTATCCTCTGTTGGAATCCGGTTTGTTGCTGAGGGTATCTGGTCAACGAATCCGAAGTATTTTGCGTAGAAAAATGTTGGTTTATGCTTATATCTCCAGGATTATGGTCTTTGCAGTTCTCCAAGTTGCCGCCCTATACAGTAGAGCTGTCTTGACATTTGTTTTGAAAAGTGTGAACTTGGTGTTGGTTGATAGATGTTTTGAGTCCCAATTGTTCTTCACTTGTAGAAATGCAACCCTTGCCTTAGCGATCCGCGCCCTCACATCTGCATCGAATCCATCCTGCACATCAGTCATGCAGCCTAGATATGTAGAGGTTTTCACATCTTACAAGGCATCTACAACTAATTGTGATTCGGCTGGTGCATGTTGCGATGTAGCAGAGAATCTTGCTTTTCACTTTTTGTATGTTAAGACCTGTTGCTGCTGAAGCTGATGCTACAGTTGCCTTTATATCTTGCATTTGTTGCTGTGTGTGCGATAGAAGAGCCACATTATCCTCGAAGTCTGAATCGACCAGCTTCATCCTTCCTATCCAATTTGTGCCATGTTCCTGTCCAGATGTTTACGCCTTCATAATGCATTCGGTCACCACGAGAAGCAGAAAGAGTGAGAGTAAGCAACCTTGCCTGAAGCAGGCCTTTACAACGAACGAGTCTGTGAGCTGTAGTACATGCACGACTTTGCAGTTTCACCGATCAATTTTATTCCCTCTGATGATGATTATCTTCTCATTCAGGCCGTTGTTTCGAAAGAGCTTCCATAGTGTCTTCATCCAGTCCACTCTGTCTGATCCTTTCTCATTGCATTTTGATCTGATGTAAAATGGTTAATTTCATTCAACTGATTCTTCCAAAATGATCCGTAATGTTGCAATTTAGTCGGTACACGGTTGATCCTTACGGAATCTAGACGGAGTCCTCCATTCTGTTTAACAACCCGCTGTTGATGACTTTACCTGCCAGTGAGAGAAGAGTGATACCTTTGTAGTTCTCACACTTGTGAAGATCGCCTTTCTTGGGTATTTTAATCAAGTATCCTCCTTTCCAGTCTGTTGGCACTTGTTCTCCTTAACTGCTGGTGGGCAAAAATTGATTGGGAGGTCCATGGATGCGGCTTCGGTGTTGGGTGCGTTCAGTGGGGCTGGTCGATTCAAGAATTCTTCAAAAAGCTGCACTCATTTGTTTCAATGTTCTTCAGTATTAATGATTATTTTGCCTTCCTTGATTTTCACTGGTCGTTCTGCTTTACGCTGATTTCCAGAGAGCTTCTTTGTCGTGTCGAAAAATCGTCCGAAGTTTCTTTCTCTTCCAGCTTTTTCCGCCGTCATTGTTAGATCTTCCACATATTTTTTGATTATCAGCTATGCTGCTCCTCCATACCTGCTTGTTTGTTTCTGTGCATTCAGCTTGCGCCTTCCCAATTGTTTTCTATTTAGTAGATTTTGGAAGGCCTGGAACTTATTTCTAAGGTCTGCCTGGAATTCGCTGAGCCTGCCGGTATCCCGAATGAAAGCCCTATTAAACTTTTGTGATGTTATCCGTCCCGTTATCTGGTGCTCATCTAGTTTCGGCCTCAAAATGATCATTTGAAGCTATAATAATGAAAATAATTTAACCTCAAATAACAAACATGTTGCCTGAGGCATGCCAATTTACAGGCAAGATCAAAATGTTAAGTTCGGGAAACATATTTCTTTTAAAACGGTGTACAGTCACTGAAATAGTTAATGAGATACATTAGCTCGATTCAGATGGTCTATAATGTACAACGCGAGTTGGCGCGAGTTACGACGGTCGCGTTACGACGAGCTTCTTAATGACTGTGAAAAAATGCAAGGTAGAGCCAGGTCTGCATATAACAAGAATTGATGAGATAAATGTGCCAAGATCTTGTTGATAAACTAACAGGCCCTTGGGTAAAGTAACCAAGTCTTCGGCAGATATCCAGACTAAAACATAAGTATTAAAACAAGGTGCTGAAAAAGGAGAAATAAAGAGAACGGGGCGAGGAGCAGAATAGAAAATATTCTTGTTTAAAGACGAACAATGACTCAGCACATACGTTTCCGGATAAAAGAAAGGTATGTTTACTAAGGCTTCTTTTTCATCAGAACGCTAACTGTGCAACTGCATTTATGTAGGCTAATGAAGACAGTTCAGTAGTAAGATAACGAATGGACATTGAATCTTGTGAATAAAGGAAATTCAGCATAACCACATTTTTAGCAACAATGTTGATTTACGGAATGTAATAATGAGGCCCAGTGATCTTATGTTTTTATCTTATTTTATTTATTCTTTTTATTTTTAACGCTGTGGCTCAAGAAGTTATGAATGAGCTCTTTTTCTGTATAACTGTCCAGATCTGCTTGTAATAGGATTTCTTGGTAGGAAGTTAAAACCAGTGCAAGGTTACGGAAATGAGTCGTAAACGAGGTTAACAAGGAAAGGTAACATCAATGTTACTGGTTTGTTACATCCTGCTATATGTGAAGGAGCCGTAAGCAAACAAAATGTTCTGCCACACTGACATGGGTAGATTGAGGTTATCACCCCACCGTCATAAATGCTGGTCAGATGCACAACCCTCCCTCATTTTGTGATGTTGGGCTCTCTTACGTTTAATGGTTAATTGGTAATCATGTTTTCTGGTTTAATCTCTATTTTTTGTACACCTTGTAGATGAATTTTCTACCCTAGCAGTTCACTTTGATTCCAGTAGGTGTAGGTCGAACGCGCTATCCCCCGATCCAATATCAGAACACAATAATTATAGGAGAAAGCAGTCTATTTTTATAATAAAATGGAAATACAAACAGTTACCTGACAATTTATACACCTTCCAAGTCCGAATTACCCTGATGGGTATCCGAATCCAAAAGAATAAGTGATACTAGTACTAACTCCCACGGTATCAAATCCAAATATGGCTGTAGCCATATTAAATATCAAATTTAAACAACATGTGCACAGTGCAGAAGCAAACATAAAAACTTCAATATAAGTACAAAATATAGAAATAATAACAATATACAATGATAAAATCACAAAATGGAATCAAATAGAGTACCAAAATGTCAACAGAAAGAGTCAGTCATATCATAACACAAATATATATACATGGAGGGATTTTCCAAAAAACAAAACATCCAAAAAATTTCTACACACCTTATCGGAATTAACTTTCTCTACTAGCTCCACATTACAAGTAATCCAGACAACCTGCTTTGTCTTATGAAAGACAAAATATTCACTTAGCATGCCAGACTGAGTTTAAGAAAACTAATGGTATAAATTGTAAGATATATATCAGTTAATAGGTAGTTTGGAGATAAAAAGGATAGTGAATTGGAATGATGTTAAAAATTAATGAGAAAAGCGATATGTTGGTAAGCAGGCAAGGTGTTTGGATGTTAATGAATTGGGGAAATAAAAATTTAATAAACTGCTAATATTTAAACAAGAAGGAACTCACAATGCTACAGGGAGTTTGAGTTCCTTGTAATTGACAGTAGTTGATCAGCATCTACAGGCT